CAAGGGCCATTTCTGGAGGCTGTAAGTGTTGTCCAGGGCAGCTGTAGGGACAGGTGTAAATCTGTCCCTGCATTCCTCCCCACCCCTCCCGGCTCTCTGCACCTGAAGCAGGTCCCATTTATTACTGCGAGCCCTCTCGGGCCTCAGCACACACCCGTCCGCACGCAAGCGCTGCTCACGGCTAATGCGGGGCCTGCCCTGGGAGCACATTTTTTAATGCTTCTTTAAAGCAAGTTCTATCGGCTGTTTGTTAAAGCAAAGCAAACACCAGCCTTTGCAATAACAAGGAAGAAAGAAAGAGAGAGAGGAAGAAAGAAAGAGGGGGGGGGTAGGGAAAAGAAGAGGAAAGGAAAGGAAAGGTAAGAAAAGAAAAGAAAAGAAAAGAAAAGAAAAGAAAAGAAAAGAAAAGTAAAGAAAAGAAAAGAAAAGAAAAAAGAAAAGAAGAAAGGAAGGGAGGAAGGAAATCCTTTTACTAGTATTTGCTACTATTAAAAAATGTCCTTTCAAATACCTTTCTGGGCAGACTGGGAGGGGCGTGAGGGAGGAGGCAGAGGAAGAGGGAAGATGAGCTGCGGTTTATTTGAACTAGTTGGAGTGATGAGCTGGGAGGGGAAACTTCATCTGAACCAGGCTCCCAGCTAACCCTCCTCCCCATCTCTTCCCAGCCTCCCCTGATGGAACAAAGACCTGCTGTCCCGGGAGTGCTCCCCCACCCCCACCCCATCACTCTCCACAGGGAGCAGCTGGGCGACTGCTCAGCCCCTTGCCGTCCAGCCAAGTGCACTCTGGGAATCTGGAGGACTCTGGGGAATGGGCTCTCTTCTTGGCTCCACCAGCCAGCCCTTCCTTGTGGGTCACAGTGGCTGTCGCTGGGGAAAGAGGGAAGCTTCTAGATGCCAAGCCAGTGGCAACAAGAGAACACGGTGTCTTTTTCTGCACTGTCTTCCAAGCTCTCAGCCACACACTCCCCCAGGCTCACCCCAAAGGCCTTGGGGGGGGGGGGGGGCTGGAAATCCTTAATGAGTGAACTTATCTCCTACTTAACTGGTATCTGATGCTTTATATGGTTTTGAAAACCATTTTCCCTGAGGGCTGGGGCTACTGGGGGATTGGTCCATGGGAGCAGCTCAGGCATGATTTAATGGAGGCATTCACACTGTACTAGGTAATCTTCGCTGCTTTAAGCAATACATCAGGGCCGCCGGGGTGCTGGGCTCTCCAGCCCTGCCTTCCTCTGCCTCCTTTCCGGCCTTCACCTTCCAGGCCCTTTCCTGTTTCTCACCTTTTTGTTTGTCCTCTCTTTGTCTCCTTCTCCTCCTCCTCCTTCTCCTCTCCCCCTCCTCCTCCTCCTCCTCCTCCTCCTCCTCCTCCTCCTCCTCCTCCTCCTCCTCCTCCTTCTTCTTCTTCTTCTTCTTCTTCTTCTTCTTCTTCTCTCTCTCTCTCTCTCTCTCTCCCTCTCTCGTCTGTTTCTCTTTCTGCCTCATTTAGTTTTTGCACTTGATCCTCACTCTCTGCTTCTTTTCTTCTTTCCCCCTCTCACCTCCACCCCCAACTAGGACTGCCTCTCTGTCTCTATGTCTTTCTCTCCTGCTCACTGTCTCTCAGTCACTCCCCTTCATCTGTTCTCTCCTCCATGCCTCTCCCAGACTCTGAGTACCCCTGTCCCTCTCTCATCGTCTGTCTGTCCCCTTTTCTCCTTCCTCCCTTCTCTGTATGTGCCCCATCTCTCTTACCCCCCTTCCTGTCTTTGTCCTTTTCCATCTCCCCATCTTTCCTTTCTCATCTCTGTCCTTTCTCATCACCCCCCCTGCCCCGCCCTCTAACACACACCCCCTGCTCTCAGGCTCTCAGGCGGGAAGGAGTGTCTAGCTCTCCTCTGGTCCTCAGTGCCCCCAAAGGCCTGAGGACGGGCACAGTAGGCTCCTGCTGCTGAGTAGGAGTTGGGCAGCTGCAGTGGGCCTGGGAGAAGGGACATCAGCCATACATAGTTTCTCTGAGAGCCAAGAGGCCTCCAGGGCCCCACTCAGGAGCCTGATATCCCTCAGGCCCTGACCACAGGCAGCCTCCTCATTTGCAGAGCTCATCACTGCGGGGGCTCTGGCCAGGGACACTGAGGTGCCCAATATTGTCCCTTCATTTCCTCAGTGGATCTAAGAAACGCCTGCCCCTCACTTCAGGACAGGGAGCCACCTGGGGCAGAAAGTCAAGACCTGGCCTCTGAGCTGGGTGCAAGGGGGAGGAAAGAGAGCTTTCTTGCTGGGCTCGCTTGCCATTCCGAGATCCCGGGATTCAGGAAAGGGCCACGGGGCATGAAGCCTTGAGTGAGAAGCTGAAGAAAGGATCTCACTGTCATTTCAACTTGGGGAAAGGGCAAGTAATGGAGCTTCAGTGGAGCTGAGTCAGACCTGGGCAAGGTCGAGAGGGCGATGCTAGCAAGAAGAGGCTAAATATAGTCTCCCGAGTGTCCCCTAAAGGTACAGAATATACTCAGTATACACTTAGGCAGAGTGGACAGGTACATAGCCAGCCTGGGCGCGGATCGTTTAGGCTGCCCAAACAGCTCATGAAAAATGAGCACTTACTATGCCCCAGGAGTTGGGTTCAGTTGGGTTGGAGGGGTCCACGGACTCGGCTGACGTTCCAAGATGTCCTAACCCTTCATCTCTTAGAGCTCAATGCGTGTGCCCACACTTTGCTGGAACAAGGCACCACGCGGAGTCTGCGAACGCACGGAGGCCAGCAGCTATGATCGCAGCGGCGCAGGCGGCGCAGGCAGCGCCTGAGGATCCAGCCGTGCGCACACCCCAGCGAGGGAGCACCAGCCGGCTGGGACCGGGCCGACGCCGCGACTCAGCTCCACAGGCTGTGGGGCGCAATGAGGGAGGCTGGGGTGTTGGGGGTGCGGCTCCATTCCTAGTGGGGGACGCGACACAGCGTCAGTGCCATCTCTCCGTCTGCACTTGGAGGTGGCAGGAGTCCGCGGAGAGGGGGAGTGGGGAAGGGAGCCGTGGCCTCCTTCACCACCCAGGGACTGGTGGTCGCGCCACTAACCAATCCATTCGCCATTCCTCTTACCTGAACCGTTTCATCCATCACTTTCCGGATCCGAAAGGAGGGAGGAAACTGAGGCTCCGAGCAGTTGGCTGGCAGCGCGTGCGGGAAGCTCGCCAAGCTCTTGCGCGCGCGCCAGGCCGGGCAGCGGCGGCGGAAACCACAGTCCCGGGCCTCCTGCGAGAGGCGGGAAGCGAAGCCAAGCGCGGCGCAGGCACCTCGGGCCTCTGAGCGAAGCCAAAGTCGGTCAAGCGGGCAAAGGAAGAAAGAAGAAGCGCGGTTCCGGCTGCCGCTTGGAAAGCCTCGTTCACACCGTCCTCCGTGGGAGCGAAGCGGCCGGGGGAGAGGCTGGGGTCGGCGGAGCCGGGAGGGCCTGGAACCCAAGGGGCTTGCTTCTGCTGCGGTGCGGGCGGTTGGCGGCAGATGGACCCCTACCCAGCTCCAAGCCTCAAGACGCGGGGTAATTGGCAGGAAGAGGGGGGGGATTCTGACCTCCACTTTTGAGTCTGTATTCCACGTGCTTTCCGAGAGAGAGGCGGGAAAGACGGGTGGGAGGGAGGCCAAAGCAGAGACAGAGCTAGGAAGACAGAGAGCAAGACCAAGTGAAAGAGGAGAGTCCCAGAGGCACTGGGCCTCAGCGCCGAACTGGTGGAGGCAAGGCGATTCCTGCGACCCTCGTCCTGCCCATAAACAGGCCAGGCCAGGCCAGAAGGACAAATGCTGCCCTGAGGGGGCCCGGGGGGGGGGCGCCTGATGCCTGCTTAGAGGGTGGCATCGCCTCCTCGCCCCGTGGCCGTGTGAGTCCAGGAAACCACTCCGTCCTCTGAGCCCTGAGTTCCATCCCTTGATCTCAGGGAAGAGCGCTGGCAGGTGGCCCCAAAAGGCCTTGAAAGAACTGGGTTAGGTTTGTGCTCCCCCTCCCTTCTCTCCAGCAAAGCTGCTTCGGAAGCAAACACCAGGATCTTGGCCGTCTGGGTGGACACTGGAGGCCTGGAGGAGGACTTCAAGGCAGGCACCCACAGTTGCTCATGTGCTGCTTAACTCTCAGTCCCCATCGCGTGGGGACACAGGTCTCGGGTTGCCAAACCTTTGGAAGCCTTGCATTATCTCAGAGGGTTCTAACCGCCCTCAGGAGCCCGGGTCCAAGGTGACCCCAGGATGAAGAGCCCCCGCACCGAGGGACACACAGCAGGCCTCGGGGCTCCAGCCACCCCCACCCTCATCTCCAAGACCAGGCTTCCCCAGTGCCCTGCACACACCACCCAGCTCAGATCCCGGCGGGCTGAGGCCGGGTCTAGAGCGATGCTTCCCCGTGGAGAACTGGGAGACGCAGCCGGAGAGGAGGGAAGGACGGCGTGTAGGAAGCCCCAGCGAGTGTCAGGGAGTCGGAGAGAGCTGGAGAGGGCCAGAGAGAGCCGGGACCGCCAGTGGCGAAGAGAAGCGGGAGGAGGGAAAACGGGGAAGGAAGAGAGACTACGGAAGCTAGAGCCCGCGGGAGCGCGAGCCCGCCGGGGCGCAAGACGGCGGAGTCTCCCGTGGTGCTCCCCGCGCCCCACCCGGCCCCAGGGGAGCGGCCGGCCGACCAATTTGGCCTTTGCCAGGCCACTGGGGCTCGATTCATTTCTTGACTAATTAACTGGAAGCTACGTCGCC